TTCTCTCAGATGTCACCCGCCCCGAAGAAAAACTGCACTTCGGTGAGGACTCCACTTTTTCAGACATTACGCACGGAATGGCAAAGTAAATGTCATATACAGCGTATTTTTCTGATTTTATTAATAAATCAACAGAACATGGTGAAAAAACAACCAACCGAAGAGTGAACACCGCGACGGAAATATCAAATTTACATTTCGCGGAATTCAGATTTCTCTTCCCCCGCTACACTTTCATTTAATAATACATAATTACATTCACCGCGAAGCTTTATATAAAATGCCAAAATTTTCAGCAAGCATCGCAGCGCGATCCTTCGAATGAAATTGTTCAACAGGAAGCAAACCAGCTTCCATGTTGGGATACAGCAGGCTCCAGTCTTTGCATTCGCTCCAGTACTTCTCCCACAGCTTATCCAATCGACGTTGTTCTCCGGACAAAGTTTTTGGTAAGAATGAAAACAATGAATCAAACATAGGTGTGATCTTTTTCTTCAATCAAAAATTAAACGAGTAAAACGAACAGTGGAATTGAATGGTTAATTTAACTTGAATACGAATCCATCCTTAGTATTTCAACAAAATCGTGACTGAAAAATCCGGTAGAATTCAACTCCAGCTAGATCCTCTATGTTCCCCCCATTTCCCCGATGCAGAGGGGAACACATCACAAAAATTACGGCAATCGGAAGTAGATTCCCAGAAAAAAATCAAGGAGTGACAATTGTTGGGCTTTTTTTTCATCGCTAAGCAACTTATTCTAGAGAATTCATTATCCTTTCAACAACATCAGGAATAAATCAAACCGTTAAGAATTCCAATAATTTACAGAAATATCCATCTGAAATAAAGCCAGAATACATTTTGACACGTATCTCCGCAAATTTTCTTTCCGACCGACCAAAATAAACCCGATCCAATACCAGTTGACCTTTACTCTAAAGAAATCAGGGGTAGAGCAACAGAAGATTTCTCACCCAATCCCATCATCAGGGAAAGAAACCCGCCTAATTTCTTCGTTCATTCTCTGGTCAGCATCTTGGCGATGAGAATCCTTCTCCCATGGTTTCAAATAAGGGGAATGGTAGATTTGCGCTTCAACAGATCTGAAACTGGCCCAAACTTGTTCCTTCATTGCCATCACCTGCCTTGACTTATCTTGAAACATTGACGTTTCTCGACAAGATTTGAGATGTAACCGGAGTACACGTAACACGTGTGACAACATTTTGTTGAAAGTAGAGAAAATGCTCAACGTAAGGGCCCAATGATTATCGACTACACGTCTCCGTTTCTTCTTCACGTGTTCGACAGGAGTGCAGAAAAACGTGAATAAACTCAGAGGAAAATTTCAAAAATAAATTTGAATCAACACGTTCAAAAATCGAAAGTTAAAGTGTTAACTATTTTCAGAATTAATTTTCTGACCTTACAGCATTTCCAGTCTTTGAATGCTTTGTCGAGGATTTCTGGCAGAGGCCAGATATTTCGAAATATGAATGCATTCCACTTCGCAAGGTGTTTCTTCCTTCGAGATTTTTTTCTGCACAGAAAAGAGCAATACTTTTCAATCGCATAATTAAGAATTTAAACATATGCTGAACCTACCGCCATTGGATTCCGCATGAAGTTGTTTTACCGGCGATGTATCCTCCAGTTTCATACCCTGCACATAAATCATAAGTTCAACTCACAGAATTTGAATATTAGTGATGTTCTTTTTACATACCACTGGATTTAGTTTCATTTTCAGCATCGGAGTGAGAAATCTCCGGTGATCCACTTCCTGCATATCAAAGACGTACAGGTACCCATCACTGTACCCATCAAAGAATGAAGAAATCGAACTGAATATGAACATACCAATGGATGTCGTTTCGTTTTCTCCCAGTTTCGATAAATCCCTGGAGATTCAAGAATGTCATAAAGCAAGCCGGAGCATTCGACTACTGAAACATTGTCTGGAAATCAATAAAATATGTTAACCGATGGATCAAGAAAAAATTGATTTTTCAAATACCATAGTATCGGTATCGTTTTTAACATCGGGTGGCATATCGCCTTTCAATTCATTTCCTGCACACAACATAAATGTCACGTTCAGAAAATCGAAAATTCCAACTCAACGGCGATTAATTACACACCATCCGGTTTTTTCGCGTCTTCAAATGAAGAGGTATTTTCTGGCGACTCATCTTCTGCATGTAAATAAAAAATGTCAACTCATAGAATTTAAAATAACGATCTGAATTCGAGCATACCATTCGATTCGGTTTCGTTTTCATGAACCGAAGACGAACTGTCCTTCCATCCATTTCCTGACAACGAAAATACAACATTCAATTTTTTGTTTGGATACTTCCAGCAATAAAATCAACATACCGTAAGTCTCTTCGTACTCCTCACGCGTCACGAACCTCCGTTCAAATTCATAATCTGAAAAATATAACTTTTTATTGCGGAAGTTTAATTTTGAGGCAATTGAACATACCACCAGAAGATGCAACAAGGTCATAAACCATGACCAAACCGTCGAATGAATCGTTCACTGCAAATCAATTACAAACGTTTTCTGATGGAATCAAAAGAATATCGACATTTTTTGCTTACAATTGAAAGAGATATCGCTTTCATCATCGGAATCTGTATCATCGATCGGTTCACTTCCTGCAAATAAAATAAATGCTCAGAAAATATGGACTTCCAACAACAAATGAATTACATAAAACATTGTATTTTCTTTCAACGAGCTGGAATTCTTCGATGATTTTAAATTTATGCAGGTAAAATGAAAATGTTCCACTAACGGACTTGCATTTACGAGTTGATTTTCGGCATATTATAAGATTTTTATTGATCACTACAAATCAAAAACGAAATTCCCTTCGACACGTTCACTGTCAATGAAAATTACATTTAATTTACGGTTTGAATACTTCCAACAAAAGATGAACACGTCACAAAAAGATTTCTTTCATTTCTCACTTAAGTAGAGTCATCTCTTGGACAAATTTTCAAAATAAATGTAAAGCATAGAACTGAACTTTTAAAATCATATCTGATTCGGATGTATACCTTGGGACGTTGATTCATCGAGCAGAAGCTTATATTCCGACGATTCAAACCCTGTACATCAATTACAAATACCAATGCTCGACATTCAACACCTGGAATGGATTCAGATCTTACCATAAGATTTCATCTCCTTTTCCATCCCAGAAGACTTTCCCGTAGCCTCTTTACCTGCACAAAAACAGGATTGACGTTCACTAACAGAATTATTTATTCAAAATGATCATTCATACATACCCATGGAAGTCGCTCCCTTCTTTTCAACCCTTCCAGAATGATTCCCGTCTGGATTAACTTTTGCGGAGGACTCCATTATTTCGTAATTTCTTTGCTTTCTTTCTATTGTTCAACAAATCTTCCGAACTTTCCTCCTGAACATTAACCAGCACAAATCAGTGGACCATCAAGAGAATCTGATCGGTCGGAAAAAATGTGAACAGAAGTGAATTCGGGGTACATATGGATCAGATGGCGAGGATACACAAAAAACCATGCAAAAATAACAGGCGTTCGTGATATGGTACAGGAAGTGCAGATGAATTCAGCAAGGACTCATTAATAGGTCCAATACAAACCCAAAAACCGGTAAAGCCGTAAGTGACAACAGGGGCAGAAATGGAGAGAGGCAATCTATTTTGGACAAAAGATTTCCGACGTAACTTGGAAATAAACTCCGCAATTTGAACGAAGCTTAAAGGAACAAAACCAAAAGGCAAGGGACAGATCAAAAGTTTCATAATGCAGGTATTTGTGATGTGTCACATCGAGGGAAATAAACACGGACAGGTTTAAAAAAATTAAACTTCGATCATTTAATTACGGTACTCGAACAGCATTAACATCTGTTGAACAACCCAACACTTTCTAAAAGAGGGTACTTCATCATAGAAGATTTCGAAGTACAGTATCCCCATTGGTTTTGAGAACACGAAAAAGTTGAAAACACATCACAACGAAAAGCGATTGTATCCTTCCAAAAGAAAAGAATTCAATGAATTCAGAGCCATGTTCACTTAAAACTAAGATGAATCGAGGATATACAATGTTATTGGCCTCGCGAATTACTTGGAGAAGAGATTTATGCACTATACGAGCAGCTGGTGTAATTTTCGAAACATATACTTCTAAAATCAAGGCGATAAAGGACTCGGTCCTTTTCCAATTTCCAGCACTTTCCTCATAAACTAACTGCCCTACTTCCAACTGCCCAAATTCTCAATTTCAGAAACTCGGTTTTGTCAGAATTGCTAGCTTTTATGGTTATTGATGTGTCCAACAGATGTTTCTTTGGCGGACGCTTCACAAAACTCACCCATGACAGCCATTACCCTACAATGTGAAAAAAGCGCCCAGAACAGTACCTATAAAACCCAGGAAGTGCCGCGTGGTAAACATCCCGGAAAACAGTTCTCACCAAAACAAATCCGGTATCCACCTGGTAAAAACGAAACAACACTTGACCCACCCATCTACAAGTTCGCCACGGAAAATTAAGAAATCCACAAAACATTCAAGGCAAGCTCATCGTCACACCGATGCAGCACAAAAAATCCTATTTTCAAGAGAGTGGAACCTAAAATTGAAGGTAAAAATGAAGAAGACAGAATGACTACCTTCATCGCCAATTGTCTCGCCGATTTCCCGTTTTCGGAACCAGTAAAAGCCACTTTCCTACTGTTGCTGAGATCACAGAAACAGCAAAAAATAAAGTTTTTGCTTGTGCGAAAACGAAGAACTGTCCCTTGAATAATCAGTAACCATAAAAGCTTGCACTTGGGGGATCCAGTATATACTGTATGTATTCCAGAAAGTTGAGAATTTTTGCAAAAATTACGGGTAAAATTTGCTTGATAAAATTTGCGCATAGTTGGTTTGAGTGATTTTCATTTTTTATCAGACTAATCCGTTAGCTATCCTTTTTTTTGTGTTACGAAAATGGTCGCGGACATTACCTCACTCCAATTTCAATAAATTTCAGTACACTTCATCATCCCATGGAATTTGGGTATCCATATTTGTACTTATTTAATTATAGTCGAAAAGGATTTCAAGAAAATGTTCCAGGTTCCAAAGTGAAGTTTTGATGCCTGAGGACGAGAATCCAATACAAAGAATATCTTAATAATGCAGACACAACTTCGATTTTTCTGAATTCCAAGAAGCAGAAAACGCAGAGAATCCGAATCGGAAATTGTCGCAGATCAGCATGAACAAACAAGTTACGAAAATTCACGCTTCAGATCAAGAAAAACTAGAATCCGTCAAGTTGAATTCATTTGTTCCCGAATTCGTCCTCTCACTTCATCTTCATACTCAACTCCTGTTCAAAATGACCTGCGGGCTTTAAAGTTCGGTTTCCATGAAATTCGGCATCCGCAGCAGATATAACATTAATTTGAGGTAACGATTCGAGTATCAACTGAATCACAACCGACCACCCTAGAAGTGTAACACAATAATTGACTTCGAACTTCAGACTTACGCAATCTGAAAAATGTGAAATCACCGTCCCTGCGATCAGAGCAAATGAACTTCCTTGAACAGTAGGAAATAACACGACGAAGGAAGGAAGCGAAGCCTACCTTGGGGTGTCATTGTCACACGCAACTCGCTCAATCCGGGGTTTGTAACGGGGTCCCTGCGCGACGAAAGCCCGGGACAGGAAAGCCCCGCGCGACATTAGCCCTGACACGAAATCCCCGCCATACCTGTACGAAATTATTTCGACAATTCCCTTGAAAAATCGAAACTTAAAACAAGCCGGCTCGCAATTCAATCCGCGCATCTTTTTGAAT